GACTGGGGTACTCAGGATGGGTGTGTCAGAGGCAATGAGATTGGCACAGGATAGAGCACAGTTTAGGGCTGTTGTACATAGGGTCGCTATGAGTCGCAAACGACTCCATGGCACATAACAACAACAACAACAACAACATACCCATCTCTCTATCTCTATCTCTTTCTCTATCTCTATATCTATCTCTATCTCTGTCTCTATCTCTATCTCTATCTCTATCTCTATCTCTATCTCTCTCTCTCTCTCATCTATATCTATATCTATGTCTATGTCTATGTCTATGTCTATGTCTATATCTATATCTATATCTATATCTATATCTCTAAAATGTAATATTTCTAGTTCTATTTATATTTATATATTTACATAGAGAGAGAGGGAGAGAGAGCGCAAAACAACTACATACATACACACACATACGTTTATACATTTTAGGGAGATCTGGTCTGGTGGTCTGGTCTGTAGCAAGTGGTTATGCTAAGCCCAAGGCCACTGTCTCTCTGGTGATGGTTCAAATCCTGGAGAGAAAGGTGAGCAATCTCCTCTTGCATTATTTACCTCAAAGCATGAGTCAGTTTCAACTAGATGGCAAGGAATTTTAGTTAACACATATATCATAAAAGATTGAAGGAATACACAATAAAATGCTGACAAATTCAGTCATTTACTGGTGTGATGACTGATTTTCAGTTCTTCTTTACAGTTATTTTTTTTATTTTCAAAATTGTGGATCATGAAAACATAATCAAGAAGAATCAGCAATTTTTAAGAAATCAAACCCAAAGTACCACAGCCCTTTCCCCTCTCTCTGTGTATCCTTGAAGGCACCCATGGCTCACAATCCACTCAGTCCTCCTCCCAAGATGTGTCAGCAGATATGTTCTGCCCTCCCTGCCGGTTCATCTAACACAGGAGAAATAAGAATCCTTCTGTATTAGTTATTATATATCCCACACTGCAGCCAATTAAAAAGTTCATAGTCACATGTATTCATATATAGAAGAATCTGGTTTATTTTCAAACCACACAATCCTTCACACAATTCATCTATATCTATGAAGGTCACTACCATCAAGTTGGCTCTGTCTCATAGAGGTCCTCTCTTCATCAACTTTCTAAGATGGCTTTGTGGTTAGGAGTTGTGCTACCAGCGCAAAGGCTCATGGTTCAAATCCACCACCAGTTCTGGGGAAGAAAGGGCAATCTCCTTCTGTGCCATTTTATTTCCTCTAAAAACTTGCTGAAGGGTCAGGTATGAGTCGGTTCCGACTCCATAGCACATAACAACAACAAACCATCAACAGGAGGAGAGAGGATAGGATGCCCATTTTCTTGCACATAGCCTAGGGGATTCCAACATCCAGCCCTAGGGTCATCAACACAACTTATTAGGGACTATGTCGTTAAAGCTCCCTATGTGTGTGTGTCCCCGTGGAGTTGGCTCCAATTTATAACTGACAGTCCAGTGAGTTTTCAAGATTGTAAATCGCCTGGTAAGAGACCGCACATCTTTCTCTCACCAAGTGGCTGGAGGATTCAAACAGTGCAATTCTCTCTGGACTACGCCGTCAAGAGTATCCTATCTGTGGACATATGCATATCTGTACATTTAGGAAAAGAATATATCTAAGTAGAGATACAGACACAGATCTCTTTCCTTGACCTTTGAAAACTAGGATTAAGGATTGGCGTAAGCAAAATGTTCCCCCAAGACAATAGACTGATATAATTATATCAAGACAATTCTTTAATAAGTGACTAAATTAGCACGCCATTAAAATGCTCAAACAGTCCTGCGGCTTCATGCACCTCTTGAACCGGGCTCTAGCAGAAGCCTACCAGACGCAGCGTGTTGGGGAAGCTCTTGCGCATGCCCATGCATTTCTCCTGGTCGATGTAAAGTGTGTTGGCTTTGACAGCCAACTCATGCTCCAGGGTGGCCTTCGTGTGCACCAGTGACTGCAGGGAGTCCTCTGCTTCCCTCAGGCGCTGCTGTAGGGTCTGGATAGTGTCATCCACCTCGTACACCTCGTTGACAAGGCTGCAGAGAGGAAGAAGCAGCAGCTAGGTTAGTGAGAAGAGGCCAGGCCCCTCGTAGCATCATTAGCTGTAGCTAATTATTATCAGTAGCATCATTACCAGTAACAGCTAAGTGATTCCCATTAAGGGCAGCCCCACGTGTGCCTCTCCAACTGTGCTCTGTAAGGGGTTTCAACAGCGGGTTGTTCAGAGGTTAAAACTTAAAAGCTAAACCTTTCTCTTCCAAGGTACCTCTAAGAGGATTTGAACCGCCAACTGTTTGTTTAGTGGCCTTGTTTTGTGCCACCCAGGGATTCATTGACTGAATCAGGGTCACTTCTTGAGGGAACTCTGGTGGCCTAGGAAGTAGAGAGTTGTGCTGTCGCCTCAAATGCAGGCTGTTTGAACTCACAGGAGAAAGATGGGCAGCACCCCACCCCACCCCCGTGTGATGTACTTACAGCCTCTGAAAACCCCTGGAGGGTCAGAACACTTAACAACAACATAGGACTTGAGCACTTAAGAGAGGGCTCTAAGCTGAGGCAGAGCTACTTCTTGTAACAAAGGGAGCTGGAGTATCATTCAAGTATCATTCCCTATGGTTTTGCTGCTTCCACAGCTCCTCTCATTAATCACACCCCATAATCTAAAAGACAAATTGCACATGCTCTTAAGGCTCTCGCGCATACACACACATACGCACTTTTTTTTTAAAATGAGATACATATGTGTGTACATCCAATCACCCTTCTTGTGATTTTTTTCCATTCTGTGGTGGCTGGCATACTGCTGTGAAGTCAGAAAGGCCTGCAGCATTTCAAACACCACCAGCATTTCAGACACCAGCAGGGTCACCCATGGTGGGTTGTATTCCACCCAGCATGGACAGCTGACTAGGAGAGAGGCTTGGTGATCTGCTTCTGAAAAAGAACCAGTGAAAACTCTGTGGATCACGGCAGAAGCCCGTCTCCCGTTGTGCTGAAAGATGCGGTGCTGCACTGGAAGACAGCAATGGACCCGAGCATGCTGAATTATGAGGATGGCTGCAGGGGGACCAGCCAGCATTAAGCATGTTGTTGCACACGGGGATTATAATGAGTCAGTCAACTCAACGGTAATAAAAAATAGTAATTCATTTCAAAATATTGTCTTGTAAAAAAATAAGAATAAAAATTTAGTTGGGCTTCTTTACATTTATTTCAGTAAAAAGAAAATAATCAGTGAAAATTCTTTTTATTTTCAAGTTGATAACTGGGGACAGGTAAAAGTGCTCAATCTTCTTGCTCTGTACTGTGGAGTTGGAACCAACTCATAGCTGACCCTCCAGCAATTTTTCTGAGGCAGTAAATCCCACAGAGGAGATGGTCTATTTTTCTCCCTCACAGAAGCTAGTGGATTTGAACATTCTACCTTTGGGCTGGAAGCACAGCTTGTTACCAGTAGGCCACCAGAGCTCCCATCTGACTATGCTGGATGGTGAAAAGCATTATCATTTATTTTTCCATTAAGGCAGAACTGAGAAATCAAATAATTTCATGGGGGGAAAAAACCCAACCAAACAACAACAAAAAAACCCCAGTATAGAATTTCTATTTCAAATTGCTTAATCAATATTGTTTTAATTTGCATTTGTATGAATTTAAGTAAGGGTTTCATATGTGCCTGTTGATAATTTTGTATTTTCCCCTATGAATTATCCTTCCAAGTATTTTTTAAATTGGGATATTATTATCTTCCTTTATTTAAAAGTAACTCATAACTATTGTTGCTATCCTTATATGCTGGTGAGTCAGAACCATCCCATTGCTGGACCCTCGAGCAGGATTTCAGAGGCCATAAAACACACTGGAGGAAATTGCCCATCTTCCTCCTGTGGAGCAGTTTATAGACTAAACTGCCTACCGGTGGGTTAGAGGAACAATTCCTTACACAGTAGGCCACCACAACTTCCTACTTATATATTTGTTATATTTATTTGTTAAATATATTGTGCTTGTGGCCAATAACTTGAATTGTCTTTCTAATTTTGCTTATGCTGTTTTTCTTATAATGAATTATAAAGAAGCATTTGTAATAATAACACTATTGTTGTGTGCCTGGGAGTCGGTACTGACTCATAGCTGTAAGGGGCAACATATCAGACAATAATAGCTGACCCTCTAGTAAGTTTGCAGAGGCAGTAAATTGCACAGAAGGAGATTACTCATCTTTCTCCTGTGGAGCAGCTGGTCGATTCGAACTGCATGCCTTCAAATTGGCAGGGCAATTACTTACTACTAGGCCACCAGAGCTCCCTAAAGCAACTCATATTTACTAACTTGCTGTGTACATACTTTTCTAAGTGCTTTTCATGATCAAATAATTAAATCTTTATGACACTATTATTAATGAGATACTATGATCATGCATTTTTGATAGAAGAAACTGATGTAGACAGAGTAGGGGGCAAATAATTCTCCATATAATTTTACACAGAAGTCCTCATAAGGGCCTTTTTACTATGCTACCTCGCCTAACTCTGGTAACCTAACTCCAGATATAACTCTAAATTACCTATTTTTAAAAGTAAGAAAATATTTGTGGTGAATGTTTGTACAGTAAATTAATAATTTCTTCCCAATTTGTTCATTGGATAAATTTTACACAGTATGTCAGCTTTCTAATTTTTTTCCATTCTAGTTGTTCTATTTCCATTTATCTAGCTTCCCTGTCCACTAACTTCCTTCCATTACTGGAGTACATGTAAACTATTTGGTCTCACATAGGTGATTTTTTTCAAAGAAACATCGTACTCATGGATGGCATTATTTACTCTATTAGAGAATCAAGGTTTAAACACTATCTTAGAGCAAGAATCTTGGGAGTCTTCCATTCATAAGTGGTCCAACAACTCTGAACTTTTTAATTCATCAGATTTTATCAAAGCTAAGATTTTCCTACTTTGGGATTCATTTATCAGCTGAATATGGATCCTTGGGATTAATGGAAATATAGAAAATTGCAATGAGAACAGTAGCAATGAACCCAAAGGTATGTGGATGGCCCTGAGGATAGAAAATGATTTAGCAACCAAAGAAAAAAATCTCCAGACCGAGGCAATTTTATCACTCCACAGAATTTCACGGCTAGAAAGCAATTAGTGTTAGAGCACTAATGTTAGAGACTATCAAGCCCAGCTTCCTTGTTTTAGAGATGAGGAAACTAACTTCGGGGTTGTTGGGCTGCCTTCCCCAGATCTGGCCCCTGTGTGTTTAATGCATCATGCCAACCATCCAGGAAGCCACGAAGGAAAGCAGAAGCCTTAGTGGCTATCACAGGAAAGAAGTGAGCTGCACATCCTATTCCCACCACCTCGGTCTGTGTGATCTGAAGAGGGAGCAGATGCAGAGACCCTGAGAAGGAGGCTCAGAACATTGCATTTGCTGCTTCTTGAAGCCAGTTTATCCCATTTCTATATGCAAGCTGCACAGCACAAAATCACCAGAGAACTTCGGATGTCCCTTACGTGGCTTTTCAGGTAACCAATGAATGTCATGTTAGTAGAAATATTTTTATTTTGTATTTTTCAGTATAAATATTCTATGTAACTTGTATCAACTGTGACTCACAGTGACCAGATCTGAACCTTGGCCTGAGCTGCACCATAATTATACCCAGACAGAAATCACTTATCGCTTGCCCCAAATTCAAATTTAACTGGGCATCCTGAATTTTAATGAGACAAATCTGGCACCTGGTGCCTGGCCTGATATCAGCTGCATAGCAGGAGCTCACAGAATATTAAGAGGAAATAGAAAACAGAATGTTTTTTTTTCTATTCTCAATCGTTAATATTTTGTTATTGTTTTTGCTATTTTTTTCCCCTGAAAGATAAATTCTAAATGACTGATCAAACCATTGGGTGTTGTTTAGCTAGGATATGTGAGGAATGAGGGGGCAGAAAATGGATTCTTATAGTACCCCATGTCGTCACCCAGCTTCCCCATGCGTATGTCAGAGACGCACTGTGCTCTACGGGATTTCAACCGCTGATTTTTCAGAAGCGGAGCACCAAGCCTTTCTTGCAAGGTTCCTCTGTTGTGTATTGTAGAGTTGGAACCTACCCATAGCCCCTCTGGCAGGTTGTCAGAGGCAGTTAATCCCATTGGAGGAGATTGCCCATCCTTCTCCCACAGAGCAGCTGGTGGCCTGGAACTGCTGCTTTGCCTTTGGGATTGCAGCTCAGCTTCTTGCCACTAGGCCACCATGTCAAACCTTCAATCTTTCAATTAACACAGAATGTGTTACCCATTTGCATAGCCCGGGCACATCTGACCTTTAAATAGTTTCTCTGAAACTATCTGGGAAACCAACACCAAAATGGGGAAAACATCTTGCTCAGAGAATGCAGCAAATCAACCAGGGACATTTAGACCTTCTCAGACTGCTGGACAGTGGCCCATTCTCTGGGCACCTCCTTCCTGTGTATAGTCTGGCCTCTGGCTGACCTGGCTCTGAGGTTGACTGAGGCTTTCCGGCTCTGAAGGGGAAGTGTGAGAGCTGATACCTTACCAGAACCCTAGCCTGCTGGATTTCCTACCCCAGGCAGTGATGCAGCACCTTTGTAGATGCTAAACCTAGAACCCTCTAATCATCCTTGTCCTCTCTCCATCTTCAGTCCTAAAGTCCTGTTACTTCTGCCTCACAAACAGCCTCAGGACAAGCCACTTCTCACTTTGCTCTGTAAGATCCTCACTCTGCCTTTTACCCTGGAGCCTCTACTTCCAGTTTCCTCAGTCTGAGATGCTTTGATGCTATCTTCACATATCAGATTAAGGGATCCTCCTTTATAAAGACCCTCCTTAACCCCAGGATTGGCTGGGGGAATGGTGATCAGTTATACACCTCTGGCCTTCTGTGTAGTAGAATGGGGTTTAATTCCTGCCCACTGCACCTCATGGGAAAACCACCTTAGCAAGAAAGACCTAGTGATCCATTTCTGCAAATTAGTCAATGAAAACCCTACAGATCAAAACAGTTCAA